TGTTCCAACATCGTTGCAGTCATCACTGGCAAACGGACAAGGGAGCGAGGTATTGATGGTGGGTGACAGAAGTGGTAATGAGCGTCAACCATACTGAAAAACGTGGCGACAACTGAGTGTGCGTCCATTGAAATTGAACCAGGTTCTTTGCACGTGAATATGTTCAATGCTTAACCTTTCACCCAAGAAAGCAGAGGAACTGGAGCCACCAAACTCTCTGAACTGACCAGTAGCGAATTTCATCAAGAAAGCTAAGCCGATTGCCGATTTATTATATCAACCAGATTAGTCCCCCGTCAACCGCCGGGACCTTCCTTTAATGCGCAAGCTTTCTATCCTCCGCTATGGTCCCTTCCTCCTGTGACACCAAACACCTGGAAGTGACGCGTATGCAACACAATGGTGTTTCATGCAGTAGAAGGGACACAATCATGATATGACGGTAGATTTTTCGCTTGCCTTCCTCATCCTCCCTTCCTCTCTCCACTGCTACACTGACCCTCCAGCTGCCACTGCAGCACCATGGAATGAACGAATGTGCTAGCAGTTTATATAGCCCTAAGAGTGTTATCACAACTATCCTGCTACAAAACATTGATATCTCAAATCCTGTAAGCTACCCGATTTGTTAGCGGTTTGTTTATCCCATGAGCTTCCTTCTCACTCACTTCATTTTGCGGACGGACACACATACATACACACACACACACACACACACACACACAGATACACAAACCGACACACAAAGTTAGCGCTTTATAAATAGAAGGATTTCATTCCAAACCAATACTATAATGTAAAAATTCTATAGACCGCTATGTCATCCGAGCTCGATATGAATGCTGATTTTTCAAGTCATGATAAGTACCAGCTTCATTCCGCATGCACTGCGCGTACTACGCGATAATCTTCGGCGAAATTGGACAATCTTTGGATCTCATCTGACGCATCTTTCGAAACATCTTACTATTGGTTTCTCGGTCCACGTGGCCTAATATTTTGCGAGTTGTCCAGTCTCACTGAATCCCAGATGTGATGTGCGCAGTCGCGTGCGGAGCTAAACTGTACTATCAATATTTGGTGCACGACAACTAAATCAAGTTTGATCGAGTCATGCTCTCTGAGCAATTCCCTCCCCTAACCAGGCGAAAGACAGGCGTCACGTGAAAAAATTGAATAGCTATCGCCTCCAAGATCATTTTCATTTCAAATTTGTTCAGTGTTGTTGTAATTCAAATTAGAGCTACTTTAGCACATGTAATTACATGGAAAAAATATGCGATTTCACAAATCCCAATGGATTGCAACAATTTGCTGCACTCCTACGTGCCTGCACGTTTAGCCCTCTCTTGTTCTTTTCTAAACCTCAAAACAATGCCTCTTGCAGACTCACCATTACTCATCGCAGTGGTCAGCGAAACGATGTCGGCTTGTGTTTTTTCATCCTTGTTCACGGTGATGTATCCACTCTCACTGTGGATCTCCACCAAATCGGTCTCTGGCACACTCAGGTCCCATGCGAAAGCTCTGAACTCGAATATTTCTTAAACCTTGAAGCTTGAGCAGTGCTTTATGTTTGGAGGCCCATTCACGTATAGTTCAATGCCGCCTTTCTTTTGACAGGGAGGTCGCTGATGGTGATGTCGATTTGCTCTCCGTAGGTGAACTTCGGTATGGTGGGGAAGAAAGCTTTGCCTCCGAATTCGGATCTCCATCTGGAAAGGTCAGTTTATCATGCTTTTTTGACACATCTTATAACGGTCGATGAGTGCTTGAGTTCTTGAGGGTTCGATAGATAAACATTCTACTCGACCATTTTGCACCTGAATCTAGAGAAGTGTTTGGTTGGCTCTTTTTCTTGAAACAGACCTGGCCAAAGCAATAGTAAAGGCACCGTTTTATAGAAAGATTTTTGCTTAATAGTTGATTCATCCTACCTACTACTACAACACCTATCTCTGTCCACTTGAAGGGATCCCGGATTGTCGTAATTGAATGTGGTTTAAAGGAGGAATTCACGATGAAGAACGAAGATTAGGGAAGGGGAAAAGCTGGGAGACAGGCTGAGGGTGCTGACCGACGCGCAATTGGCAGCGAAAGATTTGACCTCGGCGATCTAGCATGGCTCACTCTTGGCGCGGTTGGCGGGGTACGCCCACCGACTATCTATCACTCGCCGCAGAGATAGCGAGTGTTGAAGAGGGCACAGCGATGAGAGTCGCATCAATGCGCAAATCAACGGGCAAGGAAGGGGTCCATTTCTCGGGTTTCTGGGCCGTTTTCTTCTTCATCCCTGCTCCACTGACCACCTCTACCCTTCCTTTCCGCCCAGCTACCACCTTCCA